AATTTCAACTGGCATCAAAGTCACAGAGGAGAGTTTTTAGAATTGTTGACAAGATTTTGAGCGTCCATGTGCCTTTATTTGCAAAATGAAAAATTTGCAAAATGTGATCATTTCAGTTTAAACTGGACACCTCTCAATTACCTTTGGCTAGGTTCCTGGCTAAGACATGCTTAGAAAAAAATGAATGTATTCATTAGTCATGGCTAGGAATGAAAGAAAGTGTTTGATCAGAATTAGATAAACTTCCCAGTGCATACCCTTGAAAGTTAAACATAAAATAGAATAAATCTGTGTGCTGTAATTGGTGCTTTTAGAATTTTGCAGGATAATATGCAACTGAACAGTGCACACAAAATATGATTATTCAGATACCCATACAGTACCATATAGAGAAATCATTTGCAAAAAAAGAGCATATAATATTTATTTATTTTTATTTATTTATTAAATTTCTTTCCGCCCATCTTCCCCCAATGGGGGAGGAGATACATATAAATACATAAAACATAAAAATTTAAACAAAACATTACTAAAAAAGAATGTACATGAAAAATATAAAAATATAAAAAATATTAAAAAATATTAAAAAAAGAATATACATGAAAGATATGGATCTGAAAATGCATGAATTGTGGAACATATTTTATTGATAAAGAATGCAAAAACTGATGCAAAAATATTTAGAAATGAACTTAAACAACACTGAAATATTTTCCAGTTTCTACACATGGCTATTTTAAATCAACAAATATAATTATCAAATTTTATTTTATCAGCTCATTTTTACTACTTTATTTTTTGTATCAGTTTGTGATTTTTTTTAAGTATGAACATTCATACACATTTCTTTGCAAAAGTTTTCTACTATATTTAGACACACTTTTCCTAATATATGCATCTTTTGGAAGTGATTTATGCATTTTTTCCCTCAATTTCACCAATATAGTGAACCTTCCCAATATAGGCATTTTATAGTGTACTATTCCTAGTATACACTCCCTTATCTTTTCTTAACATTTTTTTCTGCTTCATAAAAAAAGCTGCTTCATAAAAAAAGCTGCTTCATAAAAAAAGTATGGATATTGTACACATGAATTTTGGCCTCCCTATAAGTTTGGATAATTTAAGTTGAACAAATTTGCAGTAAATTGTGAATCAAATTTATCCTGCATTCTACTGCTTTTAATGCATCTATTTCAAATAAGTATGACTTAATCTAGATTCAATTAATTGTATTTCATTTTGTGAATCTTTTTTGTGGAAGTTATAAATTAGGGATATATCAGATAGGTCCTAAATAAATGAAATGTTGAGAACATTTTACCTTTTAGAAACAGAGTAAGAGAGGGAGACTATTCCAAGGGAAAACAGTAAAACCTTAATTAACTGGATCTTGATAAAACAGACTTTACATGAAATGGACCAACTTTTCACAATGATTAACTTCATTTGCATAATGACATTATGCAAATAATATAAATTGACACAAATGATGTACTTTTCATCATTTACATGGCATGTGAGAAATCTCTAATTTAACGGACATTTCTTAATAACCCCCCTTCCCTGTTAGTATCCATTTAAACAATATTTCACTGTACATTTATCTTCATTAATCTCAGAAACTCCAGAGTTCCAAACAGAAACACCCCCCCATTTATAAACACTGATTTATGATTTACATTCATAAGAAAAACATTCTTGAATGAACACAAATTCCCTTTCTAATTTCATATTTTAAGATTTTTCCATATATTTTCCATCAATTTTGATCTAATTTTGCCATTGGATATTTGTTGGAGATAGTGCTGGGCAATAATAATGGGAACAATATTGGAGAGACTATTCATCCAGAATCCAGGCAGTAAAACATGGTACAGAAAAAAGTGAAAATGAAGAGAAATTACAATTTATTCTTTACAAGCATCTGAAAAGATGTCACCTATTATTTCAGTGCATTATTAGTATGTATGCCCAAAACTTTTCTGTGTATTTTCTGATTACCATTTCTTCTCCCAAAGCTCTAGCCCAATTTTTCCAATTAAAAATGGTTGAAATCTGAGGAGATAATCAAATTTAGCAATATCAATATCCCATGGGTTTGACAGCCTCTGTTTTTACTGTTTTATTAAATTAGTTTTTAATTTAATTTTGGGGCCCTGTGGATGATTTATGAAACACTATATTTTATGGTGCCTGCAGGCACTACGTTTCCAATCCTGTATTTTAGGTGGTAGTTCTTCTCAAAAGCTTTCAGTGACAATGTAAGTCTGCATAAAGGAAAAATTTGCTGTAGGAGTTGCATCACGAGAAAGAATAGTAATTTCAAAGTAATCTTAATTTCAACTCATATAAAAAACAAAACTTAGGACAAAGACATCAGGTAGGACCTTAGGCAAGGTTTTCCTCAAGAGCAGCAGAATCTGACAATCAAGAAGAGGCATGGCTATTCTATGGATGGAATTTACCATATATAAAATAAGAGAGGAAGGTGAGCAAGTTGAAAATGCCTATAAAAAAGAGAGAGATGACAACTTGAGTTATAATTTCAAATGTAATATATTAGGTGAAATACATATAGTATCTGAAAGACACTGTGTTCTTAAGAAACTTGCTCATAGTTTCAATTACTTCCATTATTTTTAACTTGGAAGCATTTATTCTGTTTTGTTCGTTTTATAGTCCAGGTCTATACATCTGTATGTATTTACTCTGTCTTCCATGAGGCTTACTTTACACGTAGGATTGCAATGTCTTATAATGAAATACATTAATGTATTTTGAATTCTAACTTTCTTCTATTGTTTTTGATTTGGAAAATTGAAATTTCCCTGAGATGAAAAACATAAAAGGGTTCTAATCAGTATTTTAGCCCTTTCTTTATAATGGACATATTGAAATAGTCTGTATAAGGAAAGAACAACACAAATCACTGACAGGTGAGTATTAAGATTCAAGGTATTGCAAGATGATTATAAAGGCACTAGTCTTAACATTTGTAAGATGGTTGCCTGTAAGTTTAAAAATTTATAGGCTGTCAGTCTATTCTGATTAGACTGCTCTAAAATTACATTTTAAGAAAATGCATGCATCATTCTTAATAAAGTGAATACTGCAGCCTGAAAAAATATCCTAGAACATTACTTGAAGGGATTAGAGATCAAGATTGTTAAAAGTAAAAGGAAGGAATGTAAAGTTGGTTTATCTGATCAAGGTTAAAATAGATATGTTGTTATCTCTGGTAAGCCTTAATGGACTTTTGCTGATCAGGACTGGATGATGCTTTAAGGATTTGTTTATAGATAAGAGATAGGATACAGGAAGAAGAGATCATTTGTTGTATTTTAACAGAAAGTGATAAGTTACTAACATTGTTTATACTTTTGTGTTGAAAGGGGAGGTACTTTCTTTATATATTTCATTCATTTTTCATTAGTATATTCTTATTTTTCTTTCTTTTCTATTATTCTTTATATATTTTTTCCTTTCCGCACTTTCCATTTTTTCTTTTTAGTCTTTTCTTTTTCAGTTTGTATTAGTTTTTATCAATTGTAATTTTTAATTACTATATATAAAAAAAACAAAAAACAAAAAATATCCCCTTACATTTTTATGAACTAAAAAAATGACTACAACAACAGTCCTGTTAACATCGTTGACACTCTTTTTAATCTATTTATTTTCTTACTGTGTTGCAAAGAAGTGAGCTTGTAAATAACCATAAATACAAACTGAACCTTTTTTATTAGGAAGATCAATCTTATTTAGTGAGCAAACAAGAAAGAACATAATTCTCTAGTCTGATTCCAAATGCCTCACTGAAACAAAAGCTTATGCTGGAGTGAGTGGACTACAACTCCTGTCTATAAGTTTTGTTTTGTTATGTTGTTTTAGAACAAGAAAAGGAAAACAGCTACCCATTAAAACATGCTGCAGGAATCAAATACTTTTTCTAGCGAAAAAATAACCAGCAACTAAATTCTTAGCATTGTGATATATACTTTTCTCACAAACTTGCTGATCAAGTTCAGTATCACCAACAATGGCATAATGTACTGTTGTGAATTGTTTACCAATCTCACCCAATTTACCAAGCTTAAATAACTTCATCTTTGCCTTAGTCAAAAAGAAGAGTAAGAACTGCAGTTATAGGATAGTCATAATGAGAGAGGACAAATGTCTGTGAGCTTCCAAAGACATTTCACTGATTATTATCAGTGAAAACAGGACACTGGATTACACAGAATATTAGAATAATCCACCCAGGTTTCTCTTATGGTCTTCTGAAGGGACAGGCAACTCATTAGTAAGTGGAAGAGATGAATAGCTGATCTTAATAAGGCAGGTTTTAAGCCAGAAATGAAGTAAAACCTTAAAGTAGATTGTTTCAGCAGTACCATGGGTATCTATTTTTTGTAGACACAGATAGGTAGGCAAAAAGGAAAAGAGTGAGAATAGAACTGAGGGCCTGAAAGGTTCTTGCATGAGCTCAAGATTTTTCCATAGGTGGGGAAATGACAGCAACAGCCCATTCTTCCTTATATGTTCCATTTTATAAAATCCAATTAAAGTGTATTCTGTGTTTGCTTTTCAGCAGTGTTTCTCCTGTTGCACTTACTTAGAAATTGGGGATAAATGAGGAGACAAAGAAACAGTACTTTGTTCACCCTGTTGCAATTTTGACATCACTCATTAAATGTGCTTCAAATACTAAGGTTTGCAGCTATTCTGTTTACAACCCTGCTTGACAGTAGTGCTTCCATTAATAATTCTCTTTATAAAACCTTTCAGAGCAAAGTGCAACAATAGAACTTCTTCAAAATAGTACAAGAAAAAGAAGCTTCTAAAAAGGAGAAAGGCAAAGGAACTTAGCAGTGAGGTTTTTCATTTACTATTTATCAGAATATTCTAGGTCAAGAAAAAATAGGCATATTGTCCAGCACTATAATAAATATATTATAAAGAAACTAAAGATTAGTGGGGAAACTGCCAGTACAGCATTTGAACTAGGCATTAATGTTCTTTTCATGATTTCTACTTTCCTGTTTTGATTAATGAAAATTATGGGCACATTCTAATTAAGAAGCGAGAAAAATCTGTTTTGCTCTGTTTGAAATATTCAATATTTAATAAAATATTCAAAAACAGAACCAAGTCAAGTGAAGGAATTTGTCATTCAAACAGAATCTAGCTACTAAGTTAACAGGAAACAGAGGTGACTGAAAACAGTTTCCTCAGCAGCACAGCAACACAGTGATAGCACTAAATGTACATGTTTTTGTCAATACAAGGAAAATAAACGTACATCATCAATTACAAAATCAGCATAATCTTTGGTACCAAATGTAAGGGCACCTGCTTGTTAATGATATTCTCTTCATTTGCCATACAAGAAAACAATCTTGCTTTAATAACTGCTCAGAATATGAATGCTTTGAGGGTGGTTAACTTATGCCTTAGGGGCAAACTACATGGATTTCTTCTCCATTTAGCTTGTCCTTTATCAGAGCCTTTGGCAGGAGCCCGTGAGAGTCAAAAAAAGGTCAAGATGGTGGCTGCAGTTTTGCAATCAAACCTCACCCCTTTTTTGACACTCCCCCCCCCCCATGGATACTCCTGAACTTTATCATATGATCTATTATTGTGGATGTGCTTTAAAAAAACATGCTTCAGATAGTTGCTTTTAAAATGACATTTTGAAGAGAAAGCCATGTGAAACCCTGAGCCAGAACATGTTCCCAATCAGATTTCAACAAGCCAACCTCCATTTGGAAATATTTCCTTTTGTTGCTGCTGTTTGAAGGCAAATAATAATTGAGAATAGATGCAGGAGCCCCAACCTGGAATGTACACGTCATCTGGATCAGGATCTCACAACTGCTTTTTCTTTAAAACAGAGGAGACCAGGAAGAATGTTTTTCATTTGAAAGCATATTTATATCATTCCCTCCAACAGAAGCACATAAAGCAACTGGGAGATTCTAAGCCCTAGCAGTCAAGTTATACTGTTTTTTATACTGCTCAAAACAGCCTCTCTGAGATCATTCTTCCACCACTGTCCACTTTGTATAAGAGGAGGATATATGGTTAAGTATCAGTCTTGTCAGCACCACATCTTTCTGACAACGGTTAATGCTAGTATAGAGCATCTTCCGGGGCCTGTGAAACCAGGGGAATGGCTCTGCATATTACAGCCTCAATAAGCCCTCACATGGAGGCAGTTTTAGCTCTAATGCATTTACCAAGCTTAAGCTGAACAAGATGATACAATGCAGATTTTAAGTTTCAGGGTTTTTTTTAAAAAATAAGACATTCTTCTAAGACCACTTCTTGAAGTTCACTTACAATGTCCATAATATTGTCTTTTCAAAATCCCTTCCAGAGTTCCAATACCCAAACACCATGAGAAATGCATGACAATTTTAAAAACGGGAAAGAAAAAGAGAAAAGGGTTATAATACAGTCAGGCATTCCTCTAAGGGTGCTTTACTTGAACTTTGAGATATGATCCACTGCTCTGCCAGTTCCACCTTGATTTGGTTCCTTTCTCTACGGGCACATCCCAATGCCTAGGTATTCCTTTGGACGTTGCCTGACTTTGTGTGGAGGCAAATGAGCAGTGAGCAAGTCATTTGCTTCTTTAACAAGTGATGAATGCATTGTTGGATCTTGTAAACACTACTGATTGTATACATTCAAGATTTGTTCTTAGCAAAAGTGGCACTTACTTGAACCATTGCACTCAAGATTTAGCACTTCAACAGGTAAAACATTAGCTGGTAATAGAGTCTTGACGCACTTCCTTATTCTCTGATGGCTTGGTACAGAGCACTGGGCTATATCCACTGCTTGGATCCCACTGCTGTTCTAAAAAATCTGAATTTCCTGTATTTCTCTTGGTACTTGACTTGTGCATTATTGCTGTATACATTTCCCTGTTGTCAATTTAAGTGCTCCTCTATTATGTAACATGTTCAGTGTTTTAAACTCTAATGGCATCCTATGGGGACTGGCGTTCGAAAAGTATCTGTACTTTAGGTCATCATAATAATGATATTTGACGGGTTTTCCATTTATATCCTTTGGGAAGGGCCAGAATCCGTAGAGGTGAATTTCATCACAGAACCTCGTTGCGAGGGTATACATAAGGAGTCCTGTGCTGGGTCGCTTGATGTAAACTTTGTTGGTTAGCCAGTAACTGTAAAAGAAGTTAGAAAGCAAACAGAAGTACATTTGGTTATTAAGAAGTTCCATTTAAACTTCAGCAAGAACTTAAACAACACAAACTACATACAAATTTGTGTTAAACCATTTTTTTCTCAAAATATGCCTAAGTCTTTTGTATCAAAATAAACATATTAAACTGCATTTTGATATTATTTCTGAGACAAGAACTTTGTGGTAACATTGAAGTAAAAAAACTGGTGGTTAGCAAAAATCTAATCCACAGATAAGTTTGGGAGATGGCAACCAAGTCAAATGTAAGAGTTCACTGTGGTTTAATTTTAAGGGTCACAGCTCAGAGATTGGAGCATTTTCTCCCAACAGCAGGTGTTTGTATATTGAATTAATATTTAACTATAGGATTTCTAAGTATTCCCCACTTCCCAACCACCCCCAATAAAGCATGAACATCAAATATAGTTACACATCCAGAGAAGGGCAGATATTATATTAAAAATTAAATCATGCTACTGGCTTAACCTATATGAACAACATGGCTCTTAATCCCCCGTTCACTAATTTGTTCTCTGTCCCACCCACGTTATTGCCCATAAAAAGAAGTACTTTCAGCAGAACATGCCTCCCACTACCAGCCAACAAGTTTAAAACAGCAGCTCTTAGAAAGTCATATTGCTGGAAATTAACAGAATCATTGCTACTCAGAGTATACAGCACAGCTATAATATCCAGTTCTATCACTGGTCTAACATCTCTTGTTTCTAAGTTCCATAGCCAAAAATAGACCAAGTGGTTTTAGGCAAGTTCTATTTTTTTCCAACTTCATCTATGCACCTCTATCACCTTGTAACACAATAAATCATTGCTGTATCTTGTATTTCCACTGACAAACAGAAGCATCTCTTCTATTAGGGACTGATAGCTAAAATTCTGCCTGAAGCAAACTACCACAATAAGGCTAGGGTAAGGGGTGTTCACAGGGGATGGTCAAAAAAGTCACAATGGCAGCCGTGACAATGCAATTAAAGTTCCATCTGTTTTTAATGTGGTACTGTTGTGGTGGTCTTTTTTTTTTTTTTAAACCATATCCTGCAGGTGTCCCCTGGCTGGGGTGAGGCAGATTCAGAGTAACAAGAACTTTGGAACTGGTTTCTTTCTTGCTTCGACCCAGCATGAAAGGAAACCTTGCAACTAGAGTTCAGTCACCTTATCCAGAACTGACTTAGAGTTTTAAAGTAAGACTAAGAAAGTCTTCCAGGAAGGGCCACCATCTCAGTGCAGAGTTTTGTCTCACAAATGAACAGTGCTGAACTGCTGCCTATGTATATTGCTGTCCTGCATCAGTTCACTAGATGACACAGGATAAAAGCAGCCATGGGGATCCCAAACTGGATCAGAACTGCAGCACTGGATGAGGAGTTTAACCCTTACCTACTGTTTTCACATACACATCTGTCCCTCAGCCCCCTTGCAATCTACCATTTGGGAAAAGATGTACATATTTTTATGTATGTATGTGTGCGTGTGTACACACAGACACACACATTTCCCCATTTAGGTAAACAGCAGCTGGTGAAAGAAGCTATATTAGTAATATGGTCAGAGAAGAAAAGAAAGATCTATCCCTGCCTCTGCTCCCCCCTTGCTCCCCCAGTTGCTGCAGTTGTGGTCTTTGTGGCTATTTTAAAAGGAACTTAAATATATTGAGATAGCCAGTTCAGTCTGGTGGTTAAGGTACTGGACTAGGAGCAGAGAAACCTGAGTTCTAGTCTTGCCTTTAGGCACTGAAGCTAGCTGGATGACTCCAGGCCAGTCAGTCTCTCTCAGCCCCAGGCAGAAGGCACTAGCAAGCCTACTTTCAAAAATGTTGCCAAGAAAACTGCAGAGACTTGTCCTTGTAATCACCAGGAGTCAGGGCTGACTGAAAGCTATGGAAGCATGAGTATAGATCTCAATTCCCTTTTTCTATCCAAGTCTGTCAGCTGTTGTTTTTACAGTATGAATGTAGATCGAGAAATCCATAACTCAGAAACATGCTTTTGCTCATGCAAGAAAGCTTAAGCATACAGAAATACATTTTGTGGGAAACCAGATCTTCTCAAATTGAATTAGCTATTTTTTTAATACAATGGCACGCTCCTTTCCTGATTTTCAGTAAGACTTCCTTCTCAATATAGCAACAATAAAAAATTGTTTTGCTATCTTTAGATGTCATTAATCCCATGTTCAATAAAAATTTTTTAAATTGTATTAGTTGTGAGTTGGATCCTTTAAAAAGCAACTGTTGAAGCAACAGCGACAGATGGGGATGGGTAGGAATGAGGAGACTATGCGAAGCATTTGCTAATTTTAAACTTATTTTGTTCTTTGCTAAGGGAGATAAAGTATTCTGTCTAGCAGCAAACCTTTTAAGAGATCTTATAGGATGACTTTTTCTGATTCAGTTGGAATAAATCTGAAATAACTATATTCTGCAGTTATTTGACACTTAGCCAAAAATTTGTCTTAGAAAATGCACATGAATACATACACATATAAATTCAAGCCTGCTAATGTGCCACGAGATACAGCTGGACATTTGTTGTTGCTGTTAGAAGCACAATATGAAATATATAAAACCTTACATATTTAAGTATATTAGATCACATTTGATTTTTTCCAAAGACCAGTCATAATTGCTTTCAAAAGCAGACGTTAATTATGCTAGTCAATCACTTATCAGTCAAACTTAAAACAGATTAATAAAAGCCAATAAAAGGCAATGTTCAGTAGAGTTCTGCTGCAAGTATTAATAGATTTCTGGTACATATTGAAATACTTTTAACTTTGAGAGAAACAGTTTGCAGGTCTTCGTGACTGGGTAGCTTGTCCTTCTGACTGCCATATGTGTTTGCATGATAGAGATACTATGATCCTTCTTTGGCTGAAAAGGTCAGAAAAATGTTCTTGTTCAAGCAAGAATTATGTAGCAAATGACAACTTTTTGCCAGTATTGGCCATACACTGAGTTGAAAATGTACTGAACCCCAAGCAGTAATGGAAGATCATATTTAACACCAGAATGTAAAAAGGTCAACAATACGTGGAATTGGTTTCCTATCTGGATCTCAAATTCCCATGGGGAAGTAGCTTTGGAAAAGGTCACTGCTTGTCTGCACAAGTTGGATCCTTTGCTGTAGCAGTTGCAGCATTAAAGTTTCAGCTTGCCAGGACACAACAGAAGTCATTTTTATGGCTCAACCCCCCCTGACATTTATTTCACCCGAAAGAATAAAATCAACAACCCGCTTTTGTGTTATACCAACTATTCTTAAGAAAGGAGAGCTGGACATAGCTTCCTCATGGTGAGCCAAAGACCTTTAAAATCAAAGACGAAAATGCCATCCTGCACCAACAGGAAAAGTTGGCCTAAAACTTATTGATTGTAAGTTAGGTTCAGCTTCTATCCCTATAACACACTTTCAAGATGAAGGCTAATCCTCATAACAAGGGCTCATCTATGTGTCCCCCTAACAGTGGTTGAAGATGTCTCCCTAACCATGGCTGAGGTGGCCTATCTTTGTTTTCACTTGAACTAACATTAAAGTGGTGCTCTCCATTTTCTCCCAACAAAACCCTTGCTCTAAGCACAACTTCAGAAGCAACTGTGGTGATGACAAAGTAGAGGCTGGGGTCTACCTGTACCCCCAGTTAGCCTCTTTCAAGAGCAGTTTCAGCCTGGCAACTACCTGGGAGGATTTAATCTTTAAAGAGAAAGGGGGGCTCTGTGAACATAATTATACCTTATTTTCTCATTTGTTAAATGACTCCATTAAAATGTCTGCTATTTAGAGCCTATACATATGAAACTGGAGTAATGCAGATCCTCTTTTTCTACAGCTTTTGATTGCCATTTTGCCATGAGAGTGGCAGAGGATGAACAAAAATGACAGGAGCGGGGACATGGTGACAGGAATGTGGAGTCTATCTGCTGGAGCTTACAAACAGCCTCCCCATCAGTTGTTTTTAGACATAGTGAGAAAAAAGGACAAGAGAGAGCATGCACGACAAACCAAGCAAGAAAGATCAAGAAACAGAATGAGAGGAAATGCAAAAGAGCATGAGAGGGAGAGGGAATTTTCAGATCATCCCTGGGGTGGGTGGAGGCCTCTTAATATAAGAGACAGCTTGTCCTGCTGTACTGGGAAATCTCTGTCTACCCTGTGAATTGGCTGCAGAGCTTGAATGACAGGGTGAATTGGAGCTTCTTGGCAAAGGAGGAAGGCATAAAGGCCTTACCTATTCCAGTAGATCAGGTTCTGACAGATAGCAAAAGCCATGGGTCTCATCCTTTGTCAAAATTCACCTCACCCCAGCCCCATTCCGTGTTAGGGAGAGCAACTGATGAATATTTTCCCTACCTGTAGGAAATCTACCAATTACTTTTCTTAACTTGCCCCACACTAAAAATGTAAAAACACCACTACTCACTGGCCTCATCACTGAGACTGATTAGAGTACAGCTGTCAGGACCAAGCAAATTTTGCCAGGATACTTTTATGCTGGCATGCAGATTGGAAGAAAGCATATTAAAGTGGCTGCCTGGATCAGCCCCAAGTTTCTATCTTCAGTTAGCTGCCTTAGCAAGCTTAGATTAGCATTGGTTCACGATGTTAAGGTTAGCTGCCTTAGCAAGCTTAGATTAGCATTGGTTCACGATGCTAAGGTTAGCTGCCTTAGCAAGCTTAGATTAGCATTGGTTCA